CTTCTTTTTTCCAATCTCTGTGGCAATAAACACGCCTCACAAACTTGTCAACACAAACATTATTACACACTAGCTCCTCCTCCTCCTCCTCCTCCTCCTCCTCTTCTTGGTCTTGTTCTTGCATTGAGAGAATTTCATCGAGACCTGCTTCTTCACGCATCCGCTTCCTGGCTCTATACCTGCGCTGTCTTTCACGATTCTTCATACGACGGATAATAACTTCATCTTTGTCAATCAAATCATCTTTCTCATCAATGCTCATCATCAAAGCATCTTGCATGCCTCCACTAATACCCATCTCTCCTTCAGTTTCCATTACTCAAACCACTGGTTGAAAAAAAACAGATAACGGATAAAATTAAAGGAAGATTCTTGTAGACATTAATTAAGACATAAAAGGAGTGGACTTAAAAGAACTTGAGTAACTGTATAGAACCCCAGAATATTTGAATCAACTGCTAAAGGCACACACACATACACAAATATAAGATTTTAACTAGGTGATAATGAATTGGAGATTAGTTAATAACAATCAACATGAAATTTTAGGATGCCAAAATTAAAAATGTTTCGAAAGAAGAAGCAACAATAGCAAATCGATACGAACATAAATAGAAAGATTGAGTTTTTCTTTGGCCAGTTGAAAGATATATACCAAAAAAATATCCTCTTTTTCGGCCAGGAAATAAGTAATTAGAAGAACGGAGCTTTGTCGGCGATTGATTGATGATCTCTTCGAGAAATCATAAGAAAATGACAAACATAAGCCATAAAAAGGCCATACCTTTCAAGTATTATGGTGCTTCGGTTAAGAAAGAAACTAAAGTAGCGAGAGCGATCCTGGTCTCTGCCTGCTTCGAGCTTTACGAAGGGGCGAGAAAGATAGATTTTACTCTGTGAATCGGTTAAAGTCTCTTTCTTGCACGAAGTTTGATAAACAGTCCTTGGACTAATTAGCTATATCAAATTTGTATGTATTTTACTTTCAAAATGTGGTGGTGGCACAGTTGGCTAGCGCGTAGGTCTCATAGCTATTGGTGAGTGATCCTGAGGTTGAGTGTTCAAGCCTATATCTCACCCCAATTTAGTTTTGAGTTATTTTCACTCAAAGACACTTTTAAGTTTTTTAGTACATAATAGAGCAGTTATTGCTCAAGATAGTTTATAATAGAGCAGTTATTGCTTAAGATAGTTTATTTAAACTTCAAGCTAACTGTTTCCTAACCGTATGTGTATTCTTTAAACTAAATGGATCCTATAATTTTTAATTTTTTTTTCTTTCTCTGTTACGTGGAACATCTTTCTTTTTCTTCTATTGAATGATTTTAAAGATTAAAAAAGATGAAGTTGAAAAAATTGAGCGGTGGTCATCTGAATTACATGTTGATATGAACAAAGCTCTTGCTGCAAAAGGTTTCCGTCTTCTCCTATTTCTCAAATCTACCGTAGTCTTTTTTGTCTTCACCTCCGACACGTTAATTCATCTCTTCATCTCTTCCTCATCATTACCTCATTTCTCTCACCATCACAACAGTGTAGAAGTTCAAAAACGTCAATGGCTGCTTTTAACTTTTTTTTGCATTTTGGTCCTTAACATTTTGTATAATTTTGTTTTTGATCCAAAATTTATTAATTGTGCACATTTGGTCCTTAACTTAACATTTTCCAATGTTTTTTCATATATTTCAAAATTAACCTATTATGCACTACATCTCTCTCTTAATGAAATTAATCTATATATTCATATAATTAAATGCATTGAAAATATATTAAATGAACTAAAATCAAAGCTAAAAATCGTTAGCTTATGTACACTTTTTTCATTTTGACTTGATCTTTTTATTATATATTTTGGTATTGTTTTAATAAACATTAATCACCAATCTACCTATATGTGTACAATATTTTTACATATATTGGTTTATTTTTGGTGTACACGTGTACACGCTTAAAAATGTACACGAAATAACATGTCTATTTGTCTTCAACTTTTTTTTTTTCAAATTTCTACACGGCACACATGTTGTTTGTTAAACTTGCTCAAAAACAAAAATTGATCTTACATGTGGGTATCTATCTATACATGGGTATACACGTACACAATATTATACAATTGAATCATTGTACATGATAGTAAAAGTTGTGTGTACACATAAACATCATATGCTTGTACACATTGTAAAACTTTCAAAATTATCCATTAGATAATGTGGTATTATGGTAATGTGTACACATATTTCAGTTATCCCACTTCTAATTCAAAGTACACGTCTTGAAATGTATATATATTGCTACAATTACATTTCAAAGAGAATATTTTCACTTCTTAAAGCCAAACAATGGTATACATTTGAATCATGTCATATATTACTCAAATCATATATAGATCTGATTCATTTTAATTTGGTTGTTGCGGAGATGAAAAGATTATATACTAGTAAAAGTGTAAATCTCATTTAAAATTTTCACAAGTACAATGTTTTAGTGATATATATATATATATATATATATATATATATATATATATATATATGTTTATATATCCATGTGTACAAAAGGGTGCATGCGACCTAGTTGTACATCAATTTACATATCCACATGTACAAAAGGGCGTTCAGTTTTTCTTCCTTGCATACTGTCCATCTTCATGAATTCTTCCTACGAAGATAAAACAAAAAACAATTGTGTATGAATTGACTGAACAATATAAAAAATAGCTGTATTTAATTATGCAAAATATGGTGTGCAGAATTAGAAAGTATGAAATCAATTTTAAAAGGTATATTTGTAAATCAAAAATACATGGGTCGGAAATGAATATAGTCAAATGTGTAGGGACTAGATGTGCAATAAAATCAAAACTGGCCATTGTTGCTCATCGAGCTTTTGTAACAAATGAAGACGGCGAGATGGAGGAGATGAAAGCGGCGAGACATAGGCGACGACGAGAATAAGAAGGAGACGACGAAGGAAACGAGGAGAAGAAGACGACAAAAAGGATGCGGTGAAGGCGGCAACGAGAAAGAAGCAAAGATGAGATGGAGACATAAGTGATACTGTTGCAACCGAAAAAATGCTTGTAGAGAGTACAACAATGTTGTAACTATAGATATTTTTATTTTTTGAAAAAAAAATTTGGATCTCTATCTCTTCAAATTTGAGATTTACAAAAAGTAATTTATCAATAGTTTTCTGCAAAGAGAAGAAGATAACAACAAAGAAAGAGAAAAAAATTAAAAAATGTTTTGGGAAAGGAGAAAAATATGTGGTGGAGATTAATTCCCTAAGATATTGTATAATAGTTTAGTTTTTCACTTGTTTAGTTAAAGAGTGACGAGAAAAAATTATCCATTAGAGTGTGCTAGTATAACAAACTGTCTCTGAGTGTTATAAATAACTTGAAACTGCCTCTCAATATAATATTTTCTTTAGTTTTCCTACATTTGTCTCTTTAGAAAAAAAAATCCACTAGCCTAAGAGGGAAGACATCTCAATGATCTTATGTCCTTTCTACAAAAAAGAAAATCAAAATATATTATAGATCAAATCTCTCAAATATATATTTTTATCTCAATGATCTCATGTACTTTCTACAAAAAAAAAATCAAAATATATTATAGATCAAATGTCTCAAATAGATATTTTTAAGCTTTTATCATAAAAATAGAATTCAAAAATTAAAATGACCAAAATAACATTTTTTATTTGAAATTTTTAACTTTTTTTTTATTTTTAAAATTTGAAATCCCATCCCAAAACTCAATTCTTCAACTTTAAATAAAAATGTTTAGGATTAGTTAACTCAAAGAATATAAGTGTATATTTACTTATTTTTGATAATATTTAAGTCTATTTTGATCATTTTATTCTTAAATTATATATTTGTGATAAAAGAAATTTTAAGTCTATCCTAAAGAATTTTTCTATATTATATCATTCTCTTATTTCAATATCCATTTTTGTTTATTAAAGTATTGAGTTTACGTAATAATCATATTAAAAACAAAGTAGTCAAAATAAAATTAAAAAATGATGGCAAAGGCGACTTAAAGCTCAACAGTTGCAGCATGTGCAATTGGAGTTCTCATTTCTCTTTCGTGAAATCCGAATCTGAACCTCCGTGACGCAGTTCTCCTAGCTTAAAAATTCCTAAAACCTAAGAGGGAATCCCATGTCCTACAAAAAGATTCAATATATATTATATCCTTCTCTAATTTCAATATCCATTTTCATTTATTTAAGTATTAAGTTTACTTAATAATCATGTTAAAAACAAATTAGTAAAATAAAATAAAAAAGTGATGGCAAACACGACTTAACGCTCAACACTGGCAGCATGTGCAATTGGAGTTCTCATTTCTCTTCGTGAATCCGAATCCAAACCTCAGCAACTCAGCTCTCTTAGCTTAAAAGTTCCTCAAACACACAGTTTCTTTTTTTTTTGGTAAACTAACACACAGTTTCTTCCTCCGCCATAGAGGTTGCCTTCGAGTCCTGTGTCCATCGTTGTCGTATCTTCCACCGGAGACCTTAATGAAGGGGAAAACCTCATTGGTTGGATCTGGATATTATAGCATGAGTCGATTAGGACTTGAAACTAGTAACAAATGAGTTGCATTCGTTGAATCGTAGCGAACTGCAAATATATTAGAAAATCAACTAATGTTCTTCCAATAGGACAACTAGTAAAGCGAATATTATTGGTAACTCCCTATATATTAACTGAAGATCATTTAAAAAATTATAATATTAAATATGTATTAATTAAAAATAGATCCTGCTTAGGTGGCAATCCCATAAATTCTAATTGTTGATGTCGCAACATTATAAAGAGTTTAGACTAACTTTAGAATAAAACTAGAATCGGTCCGCGCTATGCGCGTATATTTCGATTGGTTATCTTGAGACACCAAAGAATACAGTGTAGTATTAATAAAACAGAGAAGCATAATCGATAAGTCTAAGGTGTAGCGTAAAGTTTAATGATAATAACTCTCATTTTAGTTATTGCCTTGCTTTTGGGATAAACCGATGTCATTCAGTAAAAGCCGGCAGTGAGCATCAACAGTTAGCCACATGATCATAACTTTACATAGTAAACCGAATACTATAACACTTATCGCTAACGCTATTTAGTTATAAACCGACTACTTGTAAATGTCTTAGAGAAAGTAGAACGTTTGTGTTTGACTAAATGTAACCCAATTGTCTGCGTTCATAATAATTGGTAAAAAGAGAATAATTTGCAAATACGTTTGTACCCACTTTTTTTTAATTATAAGCACATTTATATCATAGAACATTCACTATATAGTTAAGACATCATACATGTATTGTTGAATTTTATTATTATTTAGATGAACAATATTTGATTGGATTATGAAAACATGTGATGAGCGGTAAACCTAACTTCAGTGGCTTAATGAGATGTGTAAAAAGATTCAATGATGCTCTAGGAAAACATAGCAATTTCTAGAAGATGAAAAAAAAAAACAAACCAACATCAATGCCTAAGCATTATCAAAATAGAAAATACTGCCTTCGGATCCTCCATACTTCTCAGTTGTGGCTTTTGTGCCTTCTTAAAAGGCTTTGAAGTTGCTAACTCCCCAGGCTTCTTTGTGGAAAGACCACTTGCAGTTGTTCCTGCAAATGATGATTGCTCACGGAGATTATCACCAACACCATCCTTAGTAAGGACTGAGATGGTCCCAAGCATATCATATACATCATTAGCGTCACCCTCGTGATTGAACAGAATCATATATCATTATTTCCATACTAAGTAAGGACAAGAAGGGAGTAAATGTTGCAACTTACATCGGCAACAAACTGATGGAGTGGCAGACGGTCACCTTGTGAAGTACAGACATAAATATGTAACATCAGCCTCTGTCCATTTTGATTCCAGTCACTTTTCCTTTATTACAAAAATATTAGAATCACATACAGAGTATAAACTTCCTGAATTAAAAACAAATCAAGTTTGCCGTACAACCTGATGCTTGGGTGTGATGACGAACTGATTCAGCTCAGATATGCACAGTGGTTTAACCTTGGCGTATACCCTCAACAATGAAGGTGCTGTGTTGTTCCCACTGTATTTAGAGATCAGCCTACAGCAATGTGAAGTATCACGTGGGGCAGTGTTATGTATCAGTAACCCATCAAACCGAATGTGGATGTAATAAAATAGGATGCACTAAAAAGCTAATAGGAGGATATACCTGGAAGTTGTGTGTTGGTGTGGCTAGGTCAAAAAGAGAATGAGATCGCGGAATCTGAAAAGCTCTACGGAACTGGAGAATCCGGTTCGGTTAAGGCATCAAAGTTGGTTGAGTCACTGAACCAAATAGAAAGAAGCGAGTCGGACAGCCTGAAGTGCTGGTTGCAACGAACCATGTCAAAACCGCTGAGTGTGAACATTAAACCAGCATACAGACGGTGCCTCGGCTAACACTCACGGCGGCTGGCATGAGAGTGGACTGAAACATATGTGAAAAAGAAAGAATCAATCAACATAACAGTATCAAAATTAAAGAGTTTAAAACTTACAAATATGAAAGCCGGAAATCTTTACAAAAAAGACAACAATCATGAGATTTAAGATCGGAAAACATTCACATATCTACATTAAGCAGGTCAAAAATTATAAATGTCTAGGACGGAAAAATTAAGAAAAAAACAATGAACGGAAAACTTTTACGTCTTGGAGAAGCATGTCCACCAGTGCTTGACGTTTCTAGCTTCAAGAATCTCAGCAGCCTCAAATACTGGGAAGAACAGTGCAGGGCCTTCAAATCACTATGAATAACAGAATTAGCTATAATACTGGAGATAAATTTTATAACTGTGATGACGATGTTGAAGTATTACCTATTTATAACTGGCGGAACACCCCCTCTTACAGTGATAAGTATCATTGAATGAAGGCGTAGTGATTGATGTGCGTCGATTGAGTTAAGGAGATTAGTAAAAGCATTGAATCAAGACAACTTGAGGATTCACTGAGTGAAGACTAATCGACCGAAATGAAACATGACACATAGTTTCCTAACGACGCTTCATCTGTCTCGACATGCTGGATCTCCATTGCTAGGTCGTATTGGATCGAAGAAGGTGAGAAGGAAGAAGAAGACTGAGCCCTACTTTCATTAGACGTCATTCGTTGGTTTCATTAGACTATGGGGTTTGGTAAGTGTTTTAAATAAGAGCCCATGTTAAGCCCATCGAGAATGGCATAATCAAGCAAACAAAATCCCTTTCTACAAAACCACGTGTCAGTCCCACATTATCTTATTTGATGACATGGCTTAGGAAGAATGAGGAAAACCCTATTTTATATATATAGATAGATAGATAGATAGATAATAAATCCCTAGCATGATACATATACGGACGAACTAATGAATATAGGGGATACAAACCTTCGTCTAAGGCCTCGATTGGTACAGCAGATGATAAAGAATTATAAAAGCTGTATGCTTTCATTACATTTTTTAATAAAGTGATTGGCAGAGCATTAGCAGTATACAATTTTAAAATTGTCATAATAGTTAGTAAAATAATATATTTCTTTTAAAATAATATATATATAATATATTAATAATATATAATTTTATTAAAAATAATTAATTTTCATTATGTAAATTATATTTAAATTTTTTTTTTAAATATTATTTATTTGGATATAACATATTCCTCATATATAAAATTATAGTTATAATTTAATAATTATTATTAAATAAATAAATAAATAAATTATAATTTATAGATAAATTATTATTATTTATTTATTGGTAGAGCACTAAATTACTCATATATAAAATTATCATAAGAGTTAATATATAATTTATTTATTAGTGTCAAAATAATATGTTTATATCGATAATATATAATATATTATGTTATGTTTGTTATTAAAAATAATGAATGATATATGTAATTATATAAATTATATTATATTTTAAATGTGAAATATTGTTCTTTTAAAAATAATTCATTATAATTTTTATTTTTACTTTTTAAAATATAAATTTATATTTAATTATAAAAATATTATTTATATTTTTAAACAAAAATAAATTAATTATATATAAATATGATTAAGTTTTATATTTTCTATATGTAAATGCTCTCCCAAAAATTCTATATGAGAGCATTGAGCAAAGACCATTTGGAGAGCATTTGTATTTGATAAATGCTTTTCTAAATGCTTCTTTGCCAAATGTTGATTGGATAATAGAGAGCATAATATTTATGTTAATGCTCTACCAATCAACCCCTAATAAGTAAAGCTCCACGATGGACCAACCAATATATGTGTACATTATTTATATGTTCTATGTTCGGCGAAGAAGAAGCAATATCATATTCAAGTGTTTTTATTCAAGTGTTGGTACCTGTTATACATTTATACATTGCTGAATGAGAACGTTTAAGTGTGTATCTTCTCAATTAGTACCAAAGGCTAGATGAGACTGCCCGAACCGATCTTAAGGATGTAGTCATTGTTATCAACAAAATATGATATTGCTTCTTCTTGGAGAAAGCTTTTGCGATTTAAAACCTACCTAGACAGTATACATTGTATACAATCAGTATAAAGTCCTTAGAAAAAATGAGTAGTAAACGAAGAACTACAATGAGTATGGTTCTTCAACAAAGGTTTTACATCATAATTTCTAGCAAGTTGACTTTTATGTGTCCTATGTTTTTAGCTGTAAAATTTATCTATGAAAGTGTCAACTAACGCCGTGATCTTTCTATGTGTTCTATCTTCTTTAGTTGTAAAATTGAGATATATTTGGAAACTACGTTACTCGAAAATTAATAATATACGGTTTACACATTCTTGATGTTGGTTAAGAGGCATTTAAATTGAATTTAACCGAATCAAAGCAATCAAATTAGTATACTCTAATACGGTTCACACAATTGGTTATACTACCGTGTTAGATACATAAAACAAGGGGGGTTTACGTAAAGTATATATTATGTGTTATCTATTTCGAGAAAGAGATAAATCGCAAAAGCTTAATTATATAACTATTATAAACATATGGTCATATATACCTATATATTCTTTTGTTTTGTTTTGTTTTGTTTGATACCCACTATTATAAACATATAATCGCAGAAGTAAATCACATAATTTCGATAAAGAATATATAGGCTTGATAGCCACTAATATATATGCTTGATACTCAACTATAGTTTGATACGCGCGTCCGCGCTGATATTTGTTCTTATGTTTTGTTTTTCATAATAGTGTTATATATTTTAGATATGTCATAATATAATTAATTGTATTAAAAAATTCAGACCAAACCAGGTAATATATTTATACTGTACAAATATCCGAATATATTTCATATACATTGGTTATTTGGATATTTTTAGATTCCTATACATCAAAACCGAATTCATTCAGACATGAAAGGACCCGACTCGAAACCGATCCAAAATTTTATAATACTCCAGTGCGGTCTAATTTCAAAACCCAGAAAAAAGAATAGCCAAAAAAAAGATCCTTACTTGAATGGGTACCTAAATGTTCAGGTCTAATTATGAGAAAATTCAGTTAAACATGTTGAATTACGATTAAGATGTCAAATAAATTATGGTAAATATAATTAATGAATTAGTTCAGAGTGAAAAAAAGAAGGTAAGAAAATGTAAAACGCTTTAAAATTGGTAATCTGTTTTATAATTCTATAATAAATACTGTCAAATTATTTGGAAAATAAATTGAATGAAGTGATTAGAATGTTTTAGAAAAGGAAAATGAAAATTGTAAAAACACTTAAATTTAGGAAAAAAAAAAAATGGGTTAGAATGTGCTAGAAAAAACAAAAAACTGTAAAAATACACTTAAATTTAGGAAATTATTGTTTTCTACTTTACTTTTAATAAAATATATTTTGAAAGAGATAAATATGGGAATTTGTATTGACTACTAAAATAACTTTGGCACCAAGTAGTGCCCAAAAAAGTTAGTTAAGGAAAGCAATAATAATTAGGTCCGGTTGAGTTAATACTATAAACCATTCAAGTTAACCTAACACCAATCCTATATAAATTATTGGTTGTACTCAAACCCAGCTACCTTCTTAGTTACATATTTAAAAGCAATTTAGTAACTAAGTTGAAACCCTTCAAAACCATGTGGAAGATCAGTGAAAAACTTACCTCGCTTGTTCCTTTCTTTTTTCTTAGCTTCTCCTAGTTATTTGTAGTTTCAAGACTTCCTCAATAACACTTTGATTCAGGATGTGAGAGAGAGAGAGAGAGGAGAGAGAGAGAGAGCTATAATTTGGGTCTAGTGATATGAAATCACAATTAATTTTAAGGTTTGGTATATTACCCGATTAGATACGATGATTTATTGGGTAAAGCGTGGATAAAAATTCAGTTGAACTGAGATGAGTGAAAAACATACCTCGTTTATTCCTTACTCATTTCTCAGCTTCTCCTAGTTCTTCCTAGTTTCACGACTTCCTTACGAACACTTTGATTCAAGTTGGATTGAAAAAGAGAGTCAAAGTTTTAATTTTGGGTCTAGTGATTTCAAATCACGATTAATTTTAAGGTTTGGTATATTACCCGATTAGATACGATGAATTATTGGGTTGTTTTAGTTCTACCATTACTTATTTTCATTCATTTTGTAGTTCTATCAATACAAGTTGTCGAACATGAAATAAAAAGCTTGTTTAAATTTCTAAAAAGTAGTTACTTTCAGGTAATATAGATAAATATAGA